CTTAAAGAAGAGTATATTATTTAAAATCTATCTTATTCTTAATAAAGCGAAAAAAAAAGTAATATTATACACGTATTATACTTATATATAAGATTTAATTTACTATTAAAGAGAGCCTTAAAGAGAAGAAGATTTAAAGGGTTTTAAGAGGCGTATAAATTTCTCTATTAAAAAACTAATATTAATAGGCTAATGCTATTTACTTAAAACTCTTAAAGAGGTTTTATTCTTAATTAAATTAGTTATTCTTTTTAATAGTAAAGTGAGAGTAAGTAATAAGAAGTTATTTAAGGGTATTAAGTTATTTAATAATAGAATAAAAGAAGCTAATTAAAAGCTTAAGGTAAAAGTTTATTAAATTTAGATTTACTCTTATAATAAGTTACTAATATTAGAGCTCTTACGAATATAGTAAATACAAGTGTATTGTGTATTATATTTTATATTGTATTGTATTTTCGTGTATTATATTTAAGTTACTTTAAAGTTATAAAAGAGAAGGTTTACCTTAAAGGTACATGTAAATTATTTATTTAAGTAAATATCTTAATAAAAAGGTAGGTAATATAAGTAATCTTTAAAAGGTATATAACGTAAAACTAGATTATTATTATATTATAAGATAAGGTAAGTAAAGGTAAAGTTATAAGACTATCTTTTAGGTATTTAATTACTTTACTTTAAAGGTTAATAAGAAGAAAGTATAAGAGTTTTTAGTTTATTCTTATAATTATAGTTTAATTCGCCCTTAAAACGTATAATAATCTTAGCTATATTAAGCGTTAATAATAAAATATTATTTTTATTCTTAAGTAATTAATAAAGAATATATACGTTAATAAGATAGCGTTTCTTAAAGGGTATTATATATTTAATTATATAAGTAAGTTTAATTACGTTATTAATAATATAAGCTTAAAGAAGAGTATATTATTTAAAATTTATCTTATTCTTAGTAAGGTAAAGAAGAGTAGTATTACGTATATATTATACTTACGTGTAAGATTTAATTTACTATTAGGGAGAGCCTTAAAGAAAAGAAGGTTTAAAGGGTCTTAAGAGGTATATAGGTTTCTCCGTTAAGAAACTAACGTTAATAGACTAACGTTATTTACTTAAAGCTCTTAAAGAGATTTTATTATTAATTAAATTAATTATTCTTTCTAATAGTAAGGTAAGAGTAAGTAATAAGAAGCTATTTAAGAGTATTAAGTCATTTAATAATAGAATAAAAGAAGCTAATTAAGAGCTTAAGGTAAAAGTTTATTAAGTTTAAATTTACTTTTATAATAAGTTATTAATACAACGAATATTCGCTCTTTTTATAGCTAAACGTAACTTTATTACGTTTATTAAAATGTGAAATCCTTTAGGTTTTATAAGAGAACCTAATAGGTTACTTTTAATAGAAATATCTTTTAATATATTTAAGGGGGAGGCTATAACGTTTTATAATTAAAGGGAGTATTTTTAAGTAGGTTTCTTAAATAAAGTAAAGGCTTAAGTTAATTTTTTAGGTATACTTAATAAAGAGAAGTTATATATTATAGAATTATTACTAAGAGAATAAAGTAAGAAAAGAACTATAACTTTAATTTAATACCTACGTTAACTTAGGTATAAAAGTAAACTTATTAATAGCTTATTTTTAGCGTATATAGTGTAATTAAAGTAAGGTTTAGTAAAACGGGTTAATAATAAATTACGTTATTAATTTATATTAAAGGGTAATAATAGTATAAATTAATAACGTAATTTAATAGAAC